TGCAGGCCGACCTGCCTGGATTCGAGTCATCACCGGAGCTGCACCGGCGACGCACGAAGAGTGGGTGATTGCGACTATCATCTTGATGCCTAATCTTCCAGTGGCTTTCAATACCGCTAGAGAGGTACTGACCGATTTCCTTGCTGGCCACCAGTTTGGTTTCACTGATATTGAGCCATGTCCATTCAGTCACGCTTATGTCAAATTTAGTGGTGTTTTTGATAGAGATGATATGGGCACTCGTAGTCAACACCAGTTCACTGATGTCCATGTCATATTCCAAAAGCACGACAGAGGTCTGAACTGGAGAAGTCTGGTACTTAATAGAGATGCATGGATCCTTTTATGTGGTTATCCATTCGACAGAAGGAACATTCAGGAAGTCGGTAATGTGGTCAGTAACTGTGGGAAATTTCTTATGTGGGATAGAGTCTGTAGCACCAAGGCTAATCTAATGGTGAAGGTTAGAGTGGGAGAACTCAGGGACATACCAAACAGTATTGTCATGGGAGAGGGATATGATTTCCAGACAGGATCACTTACTATGCCAGTTGTTATCGTCCAGCACCAGATACCGGGGGCTGAAGCACCAGATAAGTGTTGGGGAATGTAGTAATTTCAAAAAAAATCCTACGCACACGCGGGATCATGGTGATGCATAGCAACGAGAGGGGAGAGTGTCATCCACGTACCCTCGTAGACCGTTAAGCGGAAGCGTTATGACAACACGGTTGATGTAGTCGTACGTCTTCACGATCAACCGATCCTCAGTACTGAACGTACGGCACCTCCGCATTCAGCACACGTTCAGCTCGGTGACGTCCCACGAACTCACGATCTAGTAGAGCTCGGGGAAGAGTTTCGTCAGCACGACGGCGTGGTGACGATGTTGATGAAGCTACCGCAGCAGGTCTTCGCCTAAACACCGCTACAGTATGACCGAGGTGGATTATGGTGGAGGGGGGCACCGCACACGGCTGGGAGAGATCTTTGTGATCAACTTGTGTGTCTAGAGGTGCCCCCCTGCCCCTATATATAAAGGAGCAAGGGGGAGGCCGGTCGGCCCTTGTTGGTGCGACGGGAGGAGGAATCCTACTCCTAGGATTCCTCCCTTTCCTACTCCTACTAGGAGGGGGAAAGGAAGGGGAAGAAAGAGAAGGAAAGGGGGGCGCCCCCCCCCCCCTCTCCTAGTCCAATTCGGACCAGAGGGAGGGGGCGCACTGCCTGCCCTAGGTCGGCCCCTCTCTCTTTCCTTTATGGCCCAACAAGGCCCATTATCCCCCGGGGGGTTCCGGTAACCCCTCCGGTACTCCGGTAAAATCCCGATTTTACCCGGAACTCTTCCCATGTCCAAATGTAGGCTTCCAATATATCGATCTTTATGTCTCGACCATTTCAAGACTCCTTGTCATGTCCGTGATCATATCCGAGACTCCGAACTACCTTACGTACATCAAAACATATAAACTCATAAAACCGATCGTCACAGAACTTTAAGCATGCGGATCCTACGGGTTCTAGAACTATGTAGACATGACCAAGACATGTCTCCGGTCAATAACGGTCAAACCGCATAACACCATACGTTGTTCTCTTTGTCATCGGTATGTTACTTGCCCGAGATTCGATCGTCGGTATCCCAATACCTAGTTCAATCTCGTTACCGGCAAGTCTCTTTACTCGTTTCGTAATGCACTATCCCACAAGTAACTCATTAGCTGCATTGTTTGCAGGGCTTATAGTGATGTGCATTACCGAGAGGGCCCAGAGATACCTCTCCGACAATCAGAGTGACAAATCCTAATCTTGATCTATGCCAACTCAACAAGTACCATCGGAGACACCTGTAGAGCGCCCTTATAATCACCCAGTTATGTTGTGACATTTGGTAGCACACAAAGTGTTCCTCCGGTATTCGGGAGTTGCATAATCTCATAGTCATAAGAACATGTATAAGTCATGAAGAAAACAATAGCAGTAAACAAAAACGATCAAGTGCTAAGCTAATGGAATGGGTCAAGTCAATCACATCATTCTCCTAATAATGTGATCCCATTGATCAAATAACAACTCATGTCTATGGTTAGGAAACTTAACCATCTTTGATCAATGAGCTAGTCAAGTAGAGGCATAATAGTGACGTTGTGTTTGTCTATGTATTCACACATGTATTATGTTTCCGGTTAATACAATTCTAGCATGAATAATAAACATTTATCATGAAATAAGGAAATAAATAATAACTTTATTATTGCCTCTAGGGCACATTTCCTTCAGTCTCCCACTTGCACTAGAGTCAATAATCTAGATTACACAGTAATAATTCTAACACCCATGGAGCCTTGGTGCTGATCATGTTTTGCTCGTGGAAGAGCCTTGGTGCTGATCATGATTGCGGCAACAAATTTTCTGATATTCCGCAGCAATGCGCACGTCATTGTCTAGTTATTTGGAATATTTATTGGCTTCTTCAATATCGTATGGTCTTAAGAAACTGTTATTCGGAATAGGTGTTGGTTGAGGCCCGGGAATAGTCCAATCGTTATAATTCTTCATAATATTTTTCAATAATTCTTTGGCTTCTTCCAATGTCCTTTCCCTGGAAATATTTTCTGCACAAGTATCTAGGTATGTCCTAGACTCAGAGGTTAAAGCGTTGTAAAACATGTCAAGTAATTCATGTTCCTTGATAGGATAATTAGAGCTAGCCCTTTGAAGTTCACAAAAACCTAAGCTTGAGGAGAGTCTCTTCCTCAAGTTGAGTTAAGTCATAAATATCCTGTAAGGCAGCTTGTCGCATATGCATAGGGAAACATTTTTCAAAGAATAGATTAGTCGACATACATGGACTTCTAATACATCCAGGCCATAAGTTGTTGTACCAAGTTTTAGCATTACCTTTTAACGAGAAAGAAAACAACTTAAGTACATAATAATCCCAAGCTAAGTCTTCTTTAGTGAATATGGAAGCAATTGATTTAAGTTTCAAGAGATGGTCAACATTTCTTCATCCTTAGTTCCTTACTACCATGGAAAGCATCGAATTCAACCCGAATAATTATTTCAGGATCAATAGAGAAATCATAAGCATCATCTTTGATGTATATCAGAGAAGTACCAAATTCATCATCAGGAAAAATATAATTTAGAGTTTTTTCTTAAATAATCCAATCATACAATCTATCCCAACTTCAATATCATAAGCCATAAATTTTCTCTAGAGACCTCTAGATCATTGGAGTGCGTGTTGAGGTTTGTCTTTGGCGGATCTCGTGGGATTTGTTCGGTGTTTGTCTTCGATGGATCCATGTGGATCAGGTCTTCGTTTGTGAGTGGTCGCATGTTTACATGTTAGATCTTTCCGATCTACGCTTCTCTTAATCGAAGGCGGTTGTTGTTCTGATGTGTTGGTCCTTTAAGGTTTTAGCACGACGACTTTCTGACGGTCTATTACAACAAGGTTTGCCCGCCTCCAGTGAGAGAGGGGCGATGATGACGACGCGCCTTCGGTTCGCTCCAGTGCTTGGTAGTCATAGCTAGATGGTTACGGACCTGAATGTATTTTTTTTACTTCTGGTGTTCTTTGTACTATCTTGACAGTTGACAAATAGATGAAAAAAAATTCCAACAAGAAAATACAATAGGTGTGGTAGGTAGACAAAGAAAATATCTTTTAGTAGGTGTAATAGGTGGTATTTCAGGATTTTCAACATTCTCAAGTTTTAGATTTTAGCAATATGAGCATCTGAAAGATCTGGAGTATTTAACGAAAAACTACCACAATTCATGAAATCGTGCCCACAAACTACCACTTTACAAATTTATACCGAAAACTACCACTTTTTTACTAATTTTTCCCTAAAAACTACCATCTCTTTAAATCGACCGTCTCGTCCATTTTAAACGAGCTTAGGTCCACTTTACAAATGCAATCAGGTCCCTACAATTTTTTAAAGCGATCAGGTCCACTTTACAAAGGTCCAGCCGGCGAGCTCGTCAATGGCGGCGGCGGCAGCGGCAAGCAAAGGCATGCGGCAGCGGCGGGCGGAAGCAACGGCAAGCAGCGACGGTGGCAGAAGAGCAACAGCTGCGGACGGCAAGCTGGAGCGACAGCAAATAGCAGCAACAGCAAGCGGCGGTCGCACATAGACAGATAGCGTCGGCCGCCGCAGTGAGTGCGTGCGCTAGCCAACTAGTTCTGGCTGCGTCCCCGTCATGATAGCTAGCTCTGGCTGCGTCCCCCTCGTGAACTAGCAGCTCCGGCCGGCCGTGGTAAGCGCGTGAGCTAGCTAGTTCCGGCTGCGTCCGTCGTGAGCTAGCTAGTTCCGGCTAGCTGCGCTAATTAGGTTTAATTTTTGGCTAATTAGTCTTTAAGTTGATGTGGTAATTTTTAGTTAAAGATTAGAGAAAAAATGATAGTTTTTGACACAAATTTGTAAAGTGATGGTTTATGGACACAGTTTGATGAATTGTAGTAGTTTTTTGTTAAATACTCGAAAGATCTGCAAGTGAAACAATATTATCAAGCATAATGGAATCAACTATATGTGACATAACAGAGTGTGACATGTGTATGTGAATGTAGTTGTGGTGGTGGTGATGTCACAAGTTGATTTAAAACAGTAGTGAACCAAGAGTAACACTTACATAAGTTTGTACCTTTTCTTGTCTTAGATGGGATGATCTTTGGTTTAGTGTCCTCAGCATACAAGTAAAACTCCAAGTGAACTTACGAATAGGGCTATGCTCTTGAGCAACGGCGTCAAAAAATAGTAGAGCAGATTCCACATGAGATAGCAGGCTAGTGAATTCTGTCTTAGCAGAAGCTTTAAAAATACAAGCAACGTGGCAAAATACAATTTGCCAACAGTGTATCAATCACTCATGTACATAGCGAGCACACTCAAACCCCAGTTCAACACTCGCAATGTAAAGTAAAAAAGGCGAGTTCACCGATCGCTGGACAAATAAGTAGATGACTTTTATTGGAGACGGAACAGTTAATGCGCCTCATCTATTGCAAGCGGCACACTCTTCACCTGCATGAATAAAAGAGATGCCGATCAGAAGTGCATCTTTTTCAAACAAGTATGATTCTCTGTTCTCCCTCATCTCAAGACGAAAAAAGAACATCTCGAGAAGAGAAGAGAATAGAGAAGTGTGATTTCCACTATGCAAGTCAATTACTCCCTCCATTTCTAAATATAAACCCTTTTAGAGATTTCAATACAGACTACATACGGATGTATATAGACATATTTTAGAGTGTAGATTCACTCATTTTGTTCCGTATGTAGTCCATATTGAAATCTCTAAAAGGTCTTATATTTAGAAACGGTTATATTTCAAACACAATTCATCTAGAAACTGCTGTATTGCCGTGAGCAACTAGCGCCGAGGTTGAGTGGCTACTGCGTACCAGCTCACGGAGCTTCAATATGTAGAACATCTCAAGATAACGCCTAGTCTCCCGCCTTTCAAGCTTCGAAACGTACTTCCAAAAGCCATAAACTCCAGCCAGTGTCATCAACCTCTCGGAGTAAATCTTCCATGTATACCTAGAAACCAAGGAGAAAACAAATATCACACAGGCAACATATGAAAAAACACCAGGTAGGCAGGCACCTGCCCAAAACAGGATTGGCTGGTACTAACTTCTCGTAAATGCGCTGGAGGCCTCTGTCAGATATCTTAACCCAATGATTGGGGTCCTGTTTGCATTTTTCAAAGAAGTCAGCCATCAACGTGGCAGCCTGATCAGGATGGTAAGGATCAATGTGGAAACCAGAGATCCCGTGCTCTATAATCTCGGCAGGCCCTCCATGGAGTGTTGCAAAAGTAGGGAGTCCGCAGGTCATGGCTTCCACAACAGTGAGACCAAATGCTTCATACAAAGCTGGCTGTTGCAAAGATCAATTAATATAGTCAGTATGTAAAGCTACTTCGTTAGCACCCACAAAACTTTTGCCTCTAGAACCACAAGTTACAACTTTACAACCATACCTGCACAAAGGCACCATGAGTATCAGCAATGTAGCGATACAGCTCACCGTTGCGAGCCCTGTTCGTCTGGGCAGAGATCCAGCGGAACTGCCCAAACAAGTTATATGTCTTAATAAGTTCATGCATCTTCTCTATCTCTGCGATCTCTTCTCTATCCTTTGATTTCTTGACATTGTTGTAGCCAGCGACCACAACAAGGTTTACCAGCGACCTTAGCTTAGCATTTTTACTATAAGCTTCCACTAGTCCTGTCATGTTTTTAACACGGTCAAGTCTTGCCATGGAGAAGAGAATTGGTTTTGATCGGTCATCCAGATGTCCACTGCAAAGAACAGTAATTATCATCAGAAAGACGCACGTGTCAACACTATTTGCAGGACCATACTACTAATATCACTAAAATTGTGCGGAAAGACATCATTCCATCATTGATGGTAATGGTAACTGAAATCTACAAGAAGTGCAACCGTATAATCACTTGAAATACTATTGTGAACGACATCCAACAAGATGACAGGGAGTTCTCACATGTGTACATCGTTTTGCTCTGGGTCATAAATCAAGCTCTCAATTGAACCATGAAGGGCAGTGAGCCGCTTGTCCTTTTCAGTGAATGGAAAATATATAGACATGTCTGCTCCAGGAGATACTATGTTGAACTTTGGATCAAAAACATCAATCCCATGGACAACGCGGTACAGGCCAGGAAGAGTAAAAGCAGTATGGCTCTCGTACTGTCCAACTGTGTTTTTGCTGCATACCATGGAAATGTAAGAATTAAGTACAAGTGTCTTGTCAATAATACTGATGTACGATCGAAACCAATGCAAGATACTCGAAATGCAACAAGTCTAGATGTTACCCTGGTATTAAATAATTAATGAAACTGCATATAGTTTTCATGCATACTGATACTACATGTGAGCAGATTAGTTAACCAAGATCAAACGACAGAGAAAACAAATGGTCTGGCCAACAAGGCAGAATAGAAGAAACCTTCCAGCGATTTCTTGGTACGTGCTGGTGATTATGAAATCAGCATTGTTCATAGCGATTATATCAGCAGTAAACTGACAAGAGAAATGATACTTCTCATCGAATTTCTTCCAGTATATGTCTGAATCTGGATATTTGGTCTTTTCCAGTGCATGAGCAATATTGCACTGCAAAGAATATTCTGACATGATCAGTAAAGAAAAAGTTTAAAACCTCGACTATAATTTAATAAGTCATACCTGAGTAATTCCCATCTTATAAGATAGCAATGATGCCACAAGATTTCCATCACTGTAGTTTCCAATTATGAAATCTGGGGTACCCTGTAATTCTGCAGCAATTTCACCAGCTGCATCCTGCATAAAAGAAACATTATATTGCCACCATTTTGCAACAAATAAAAATACCCAATTGTACAATAATAGCAAGTGTCAGATGAGACTGAACACAAATTCATACTCAGAGGAAGTGTTCATGTAGAAATTATAACGAGGAAATTTTTCCTTAAAAGTTGTGTTCCTTTCTACATAAGTAACTCTGCACCTTACCGTAGTTGTCTCATGTCCAATAATATATGGCATCATTCCAAACCATACACGTTTCATGATATATATCGTACAGATGCGATGCCTTCCTCGTGGGACTCTTTCAGGAAATAAGATAACAGTTGGCCATCTCAGGAATCGCTACAAGGGGAGAAGCATCACTGCTACTTACCTCAGCAAATTTCTCCAGATAGGGCCACACGTCAAATCTTGAAATCCATTTCCTGAGTACTCCATTTTCATTTCTAAAGGGAACACGCAATATGAAAGTGTGCTGTGTACCACTTATTCTCTCAAGCCGCTGATTACATGATGTCCCTTTTGAATCTGGTATTAGTCGAGTAACCTAAACCACATAACAGAAACAAATGATTAGCAGTGCTTCTCTGTCTGCAAGAGTCAGTAGAAAGTACTTCCAAACTATACCAATCTATATACCACATAACAGAAACACATGCTGATTTCTATCAAACGCTCTGAGAGGTAATTAACAGTGATCCGATGGCTTTATTCGCTGATTTTCGACAGTGGACACTGCCTCTGTTTCAGCTGGATCATTACCCTCTTGCCAAAGAAACAAGATGAAGTACAAATTCAGTAACGTCACCCTATTTTCCTCTTAAATGCCAGTTTAAAATATTCACCAAAATGGACACTAATGGCTTCATTGTCATAGTTCATAATGAAATACGACCAACCCACACGACGATCCTGCCATGATGGTTCGGAAAGGGGTTGAAGGTGGATTTTGGGAAGGCATATCATAGTCAAATGGCCTTTTCTTGAACAGACCTTCCGCATGAAGGATTCCACACCTGAGTGGCGCGGATGAATTGCTCAGTTCATTCACGGTGGGAATGTTGGTATTGAAGTCAATGGCAACATTAACCATTAGCCCCAGAGCAGAAAGGGTATGAGGCAAGGTGATCTCCCTTTTCTTTCCAAATGAATTTATGCTTAGTCTAAAATTGGCTATGTCTCCGATTTTTTTAATACTGCCGTTGATATCTTGCCATCCTCATAGCACCGGCTAAGGAGGACGGTCAGGTTGGCGGCCTCATCTGAAACTTCGTAGATAGTGGGGTGTCCATGTTTGGGTATATGGACCATACTACCGGCGACGGAGCTATGTACGACGCTGGGGGCTGTGGGCCCCCTAGCCTTGGACCAAAGTGTGAAGAAAATTTTGAGGGGAGGGCTCAGATGAGATTTTTTTTAGCATTTTGCACCCCCACAAATTTTCTACCTAGCTCTGGCTATCTTCATGGAACATGATATGAAAAAAAGGATAAATATGAAAGTCAGTGAACTCGTGAACTTTCTTTTTTTTGCTTTGGTCAAGCCAAAGAAGTCAAGGATCAATATAAACAATTGTTTGGTTGTGAAGCAGGGTCCTTCTTCCAATATCTTGGCATACCCATCCATTATCGGAAGCTCTTGAATAAGGAATGGAAGTGAGTTTAGGATCGATTAGCAAAATAACAGTTGTTGGGAAGGCAAGCTTCTATCCTACAGTTGTTGGAAGTGAGTTCAGGATCGATTGGCAAAATAACAGTTGTTGGAAAGGTAGCACCACAAGCACGGATGCGCCAGACGCATTCCCCACCGGAGGCTCCCCCAGCTGCCGCCACCACCAGATCCGTCGCCGTCGTCGGAGGAAGTCGTACAACGGCAGACGGCGGCAGAGGGGCGCTCTCCCTTCCTCCATCCTCCCTGCCTGATATCCCATCCCCATGGCTTCTCCGCTCCCTCGTCGCCACGTCTCTCCTCGAGGTGGCCTTAGCGACGGCGGCGGACGCTTTGTGTCATGGCCTCGGGCCTCTGGCCAACTCGATCCTGAAGCCCATCCTCGGGGTCATCTGCTGGTGAGGGTTGGGGCTTGAGGTTGCTCCCTCTTGCGCCAGTGACTGGCTGAAGTCGGTCGAGCTTGGCCTAAGGTGGTCGGAGGGGCGGCTGCGATGCCATGGCCACTGTGGTCACGCAGGGCTGTGGAAGCCATGCCACGGACTGACAACGTACAGCTGGGTGTGCGAGGATCCACAAGTTCTGCGCCAGAGGCCGTGATCCCATAATCTACAGGTTTGTGGGCGGCAGCCATCTGCCTCCCCATAAAAGCAAATACAATAGGGTGACATAAGGAGACTATAAGAAATAAAATAATATATCTTTACTTAGTTGGAAGAGAGAGAAGAGAAGCGGGTTCTTGATTAGTAACCAGCTGCAACATAGGACCCAAGACACTTTGTGAAGATGTAAGATGAACCAACTATTAATAATCTAGTATATATTTAAAACTTACTATTGTACGTGCCGGCTAAGAGGTTGGTTGTAGATGACATGGCAACTTCTTATAGCCTTTATAGCCGACCATTGGCTGTATCATTCCCGGTACTTTTCTCTTACTGTCCGGACCCGGAGATCTCTATCTTTGAGTTCTCGGAAAATAACTGGGACCTGGACCTTCATAGGTCTCTATCTCCTGCAGAGTTGGATGATTGGCAGCGTCTCGTTGCCTGCTTCCCCTTGCTCTCGGAGGGAGAGGACTCGGTGGCCTGACCCCATTCTGCCTTTGGTCGTTTCTCAGTTAAATCTCTGTACGCTAAATTGAGTTCGGGCTCACTTATCTCCAAGTTTAAGCGCATCTGGCGTGCCCGTGTCCCCCCTAAGATTAAAATCTTTTATGTGGCAAACGTTTCGTCGAAAGCTTCCAGCGGCTGACCAAATCTGTAAGAGAAACGGTCCTGGTTCGGACAGATGTGCGTTGTGTGGTGAGCTCGAGAATACGGAGCACATTTTCTTCCGGTGCCCCTTGGCTAATTTCGTTTGGTGTTGCATCCGATCCTGGCTCCATGTCTCTTGGAATCCATCATCCTTTGCTGATCTTAGGGCCCTGTCCAATGGCGGCCTATCTGGGAGCTCTAAACAGGTTTTTTGGGTGGGGTTTGCGGCGATTTGTTGGTCGTTGTGGACCACTAGAAACAAGTTTACGATCGAGCACTCCTTCCCGGCTAAACCTACTCCTTCCCGGCTAAACCTGCTGACTGCTTATTTAAAACTGGCATATTTTTGCAGCAGTGGAGATCATTGACTAGGGATGCTGATCATGAGGCTTTCGACATTATGACGTCCAAGATTCGGGCTACTGCTTCCTCCCTGGCGCGCAGACAACCAGGAGGTTGATGGATCCTGGCGGTTCCTCCTTCTGTTCATCTACTATTTGGCTTGCGTGCCATGTTTGGCTTGGGTGCCATGTACCAGACTTTCTTTACTTTTCATTTGTCATGTGACTGGTTGTGTGCTTGCTTGGTTTGCTGGTTGTGCTACTCTGCCTGGTGGCTTTATTTATAAAGTCAGGCGTATGCCTTTTATCTAAAAAAATTAACCATGCTCTAAGGCGGTCCTCCGCTAGGACTCCTAGGACACACGGATGGCACCATGGTTCTGCTGGCGTGGACGACGTAGCAAAAGCTGGTGTGTGGTGGTGTTTGATGCAGATTTGCCATGACCTGCCACTTGTAAGAACGGTCAGCCAAAGCGTCGTGAATTAAGATTTTGGCTTTGTCATTGACCTTCCTCCCGCCTCTGCTGGGATCATGGAAAGTGGAGGCAACAAACACATTATGACTTCGATGATGGTGAAAACCCTAGGTGCAATCCTAGTACGGTGTACCTGATGATGATGGTGTTTTTGCGTCGTACCTTGCTGAATGCATTGCTTGGAGCAGGGGCGGAGCCAGGCTAGCACCAAGCTCCGGGCCTGCTTCAATACTACGGTGATTAACAGTGATCAACAGTGTAAAAACGCGACAATAAACAAAGGAGTAAATCCTCATGCCCCTGCCCCCCCGCGCGCCCCCGGCCTGGGTCTTGTATCCCACACTCGCTTGGAGTTTGCTTGGATTTGACTTTAGGGTGAAAACTCACACTCTTGCCATCGGTGGCTAGATCCGTCAACAATGGGCGACGGCGGCGCTTATGCATCATTTCCTTTTGGGAGGCGCTGCTATTGGAGAACCTTTATTGTATTTCTTGTGTTGTCATGAGATGGTTGGTACCAATGGTGATTGCCGTATTGCGTCGATCGCTCCAGGTTTTTTTCCCTCCGCATACTCATAGCTTGACTTTGCTATTTGTAGGCATGATACTTTGTGTGTGTGCGTGCGCGCGCGCATGTTGGTTCTCATGCAAAGACCGGGCGTGTCATTGTGTTTTGTATCCCCTTGGTGCTACATTATGAGTCAACAAAAACACCCTTTTTACACAGAAAAAGTAGAGTATTATTGTAGACCAATACCAAGGGGTTGGTGGTAGAGGACCAAGGGAAAAAGAAGTAAGTGCTTGCTAAACAAATGGTTCTTCAAATTATAAAATGTTGATGGGGTGTGGCAAGAGTTACTACACAACAAATACATGTACTCCAAAACGCTTTCGCAACATGTCATGAACCTACAGGCTCTTTTTTCTTGAAAGGCCATAAGAGGGTCAAAGAGTTCCTCAACATGGGTGTTTCCATAGTTGGTGGTGCCTGCTTTCGCAAGATGCCATGAACCTACGGGCTCTTTTTTCTTGAAAGGCCATATGAGGGCCAAAGAGTTCCTCAACATGGGTGTTTCCATAGTTGGTAGTGGCACCACCGTACCAACACGTGGTTTTGGGAAGTCTCTTGACTACAGGATAGCCCTCTCAGTGAGAAATATCCAATAATGTAAAATTTTGTTCAAAGAAAACATCTTTCAGTTGCCGATGTCATGGCCTTAGTGCCGGTAAATGTTTGTTTTGGGTGGACAGTAACTGGTGGCATTCATGGCCCCATCTAGTTCAGCGTTTAATGTTCATCAATTTAACGATGGAGTCAAATGTTCTCCGAAAGAAGATACATGCCTCCTAGTCTTTTGGGGCCAAATCTATGTGCCGATATGGTAAATGAGAAACATCACTTGTAGAAAAATTATATGGAAACTCATTGTTCCCCTGAAAATCAAGATACTGTCTTGGTATGCATGCAGAGGTGTCATTTTAACAAAGGACAACCTAGTAAAATGCAATTGGAATGGCATCACGAATTATTGTTATTGTGTTAAGGGTCTCACAATTCAGCACTTATTATTCCTCAAATGCTGTTCTGCATGACTTCTGTGGATGACGGTGTTTCTGGCTTTTAATCACCCCCGCCTACTAGTATTCCTGAACATGTCTGGGAGTTGGTTATGTGAGGCTATTAGACAACTTAAAGCACACATTCAGTTAAAGTGTGTGTTTTATGTTTGGCAATATGGAATTTTCGTATTTGTTTTTAACAAAAGAAACAAGTTTCTGATTTCCTTCAGGTTATTCATATGGCTACTCATTGGATCCGTACGTGGTGCTCACTTCAGCATGTGGAAACGCAGACTTCTCTGGAGTCTGGGTGCAGCCACTTAAAGATGTAAAACAAGTTATGTTCAACCAGTTTAGATGACGGTCTAGCGATAGGATGCATAAGCCTGGCATGTAAACTCTATTGCAGTTGCTCTGGTCTTTAAAGAAAATTGTTGTGCTTTTTGTATGATTGATACTTTGCAATAACATGGTTGCATGCATCAATCGATGCAAAGGCCCCAGGGCTCCCTCTTTTATTGAAAAAGGTTACCATATACAAGAGCATGTCATAATATAATGAGACAACACAATAAAGCAACCGGAGAATGTACCCAATGAAAATGATTTGTAATGGACAACAAAAATGAGAAAAGAAAATTGAACTTACAATGATAATTTTAGGGGTAACATCAAGGCCTTGTTTCTTTAACCTAAGAACCATTTCATCCTCCAAAGCACGAACTTGGTCCAATATATAAACAATCTGAGTACAGCAAAGAAAGGAAAAGGTGATGTATCAAAGGGATGAGGAAATAGCACATTAAAGCCGGGACGAGCTATATATCGATGGCCATGCCATTGTTTGGTACCTGCCCTCCAGTATCTGGCATGCCCAGCACATTAGCTTGACCGAAGTATCCATGAGGTGAAACTATCACAACATTAAAGATCATTGGGATCCTCCCCAAGAATGTCTCTAGTGTAGATGGATCTGGTGCTTGAAGAATATCCAGAAGGAGATGTATCATCTCTAAGACATGTTCAGTTGTATCACCCCAACCTTTCTCCAAGCCCCATTCTTGAAATCTGAAGGTTAAGGAAAAAACATCGCGTGTTAAAGCTACATTATTCTTGCCTGATGTGATTTATTCAAAAGCTGCACTTCGTAAATCACGAAATAATCTCAGACATACACTATGCAGCAATTACCAGTGACTAGTAAATTTACGGATGCAAGACCTAGTCAAAGGCATTTCAACAAGACTAACATACTTTCTTTACCACAAGAGCTATTAAATGTCTGTATGTAAGACTTAAGCAGCTGGAATTCAACTTGAGCTTATATGTTCTAACAAAAGGTTAGAGAGGGCATCTCTTAGAAATGCTCGAAGCCTCAAAGAGTCAAACCCCAGAACTGAATTTGGTGACATAGGACTAGCTGTAACAAAATTCGTGGTTTGTAGTTTCCCCCGCATATTTGTGCATATACTGTGGCTAGACAAAAAATAATCAGCAATGTGTACCGTCAGCGACAGGGTGACTACCGCCTACCCAAACGGTCAGATTGGTTTTAACTTTTCGTGAAGTGTTCATTTTTTGCTAAATTTTCTGACAAGGGTCAGATTTGTCGATTTGCACTCTTAGAAATGCTCAGTCTCCAACAGTCAAACATCAGTCGTGCTTCTCCGAACAAAAAATAAACTACAAAACTGAAATGCAACTATCGAGTTTATGCAAAAAAAAAATACTGAGGCAGCACAATGTGATAGGGTAAACTAACTGATTGGAAAATTGTGAATATGGTGTTTCAGATGGGAGCTTCGACAGGTGCTCCTCAGCTTTGGTCAGGACAGACTGAAGCCTTCCCACGCTCTGTACCCTGTCATTTAGCATCATCACCTGCAGAACACACATGCAAAGCTTCCCAAATTAACAACAAACATACACATGAATCACAAGTTTCTCGCAAAGATATCCTCGGCGGTAGCAAAACTCACATGCCCCTTGTGCCGGTGCTCGCGAAGGAAATCAAGCAGGGGCTCCAGGCAATCCCTGTTGCGGAACAAAATCGAGGACAGGTGCCTGTTGAGAAACTGCACGCCATTTCCAATCGACGATGACCGACTCGGACGTGGGATTAAGGCAGTGAATGGCTCAAAGTCAAGCTCCAGCACGTAGGGGTCTTTGTGCCTGCCAGGTCATGAGGTTAAGATTATGGTGGTAGAAACTGAAACAATGCTACTTGTGACAGTTTAGCTGCTTTTAGTTTTAGTTTTAATATCATCACTCTGCAAGAGTCGAACCACGGCTCCAACAGTCCAGCACAGAGCCATACTTATTCTGAAAGCTACTACTAAGTTGTCAATCTCTTAATGAACTCAGCCGTGCACAGATAGCTAAGCAAAGTAGCAAACGATGAACAATTCAAGCCATGGTTCCGTGATGGCGGCCTCTCAAAGCCCAACATTAACCTCTGGCTAAAAATTGACCATAGCAGAGGCAAAAGGAGCAGACGCTGGAGCTGAGATAGCAGGAAGGAACAGGGGGGCGCAACACATACTGGCCGTCGACGAGCTCCTCCTTGAAGCGGAGATACTCCGACACGCTGAGCTGCTCGACGTTGAGCTCGTGCACGTTGACGCGGACGTACTCCCAAACCCCCGGCCGCGGCCGCACCGCGATGGCCACGAACGGCGGCAGCACGATCGCCTCCTGCTCGAAAAATACGCGCACACGAGAGACATAAAAAAAATTCAGGGACACGCGCGCGCACGAAACAGCCGGTGTTGCGATGTGACGGGCTCACCTGGGAGGAGCGCAGGACGTCGAGGAAGGGGCCCTCGGCGAAGGCGCTGCCGCCGGAGACCTGGACCTCGTCGAGCGTGTCGAGGATGCGGTGCGGCTGCAGGATCCCCTTCCCCTTGCTCACGTACCTACGGTACGGCCACCAAACCGACCGAAGCAGGGGCAAAAAATCGTCAGCGAGGCATACGAGCGAACAATTGGGCGGGGTGGCTGATCGGCGACTCACTTGGAGAGGAGGGCGACGAGCTCGTTGCGGTGGGCGTGGAGGGTGTCCTCCACGCGTTCGCGGATGCTCGGGGTGCGGTCAAGCTTCGAGGCGGCCATGGCTGGCTGCTCTGCTGCTGACTCGTGTCACTGTGCTCCCGTCCCGCGATGTTGCGAGCGCTGGTGAGGAAGGCGAAAGCCGAGTTGCCCAACTTTATAAGATGAGATGCAGCGCCTTGCTGACGCGTGGTGGAGAGCGTTGGACAGTTGGCGAAAATGATTGTACAATGTACTAAGTACTTACTACGTAGAACATTTTTATGATGTATTCGTATATGGCGATTTCTTTCATTTTAGTCTCTTAAGTATGTCTGAATGTGTCGACTCAGTCTTTCGAAGATACTGTTATGATGTGCGTCATTTATACTATATTAAAAAAATATGGTTAGGTTGTTAGATAGTTATTGGTGCAATCCTAAAAAAAATGTATTGATGCCTTAATGCTTTGATGTCTAAATAAAATTTGTTTAAAGTCAAACTACAAAAGTATATGAGGCAATGTTTTCATCTACTGCGATGTGTTTACGGTGACTTGATTGCTATTTGGAGTTTCTTTTTTCTTTTAATGATTTTATTCATGGCTGCATTTAAACAATGAACACTTACGTGACGTCTGGAATGAACTACCAGTAGTAGTTCGTGCATGTCGCTGCACGGGCAGAGGGTGGCCTTAGACTAGCCACACTGAGAGTAACTTCAGCAATAATTTTAAATTCAACTTAGCAAATTTGTCTATATAGCAATGAGTTAATGAAAAGAAAGGTAGTTCTAATAACTTAGCTAGTTACTGTAACATCACATGTCCCAATGCAGTATGAATCTATAACCTAATAAATGGAGGTTTGCATGACACCACACCTATGTTACTACCCACTATGAAGGTAGTAACATAGTCTAGTACATTTTCGCAAAAAGAGAGAAGATAGCCTTGAACATTGCTAAGTGAAGAACGGTACCTCGAAAGCACACCTTTAGACCTCCAATGCACTAATGCTAAGATAAGGTGCTAAGCACATTAAAAAATCTAAGCAACTAAAGTCCCCAATGCAAAGGAGCTTAGCTTGTTGTTGTTAAACATCCTTCATTTAATGATTTAGTAACTAAAGTTGTCCATGCATTGATGGGCTTTTTTCATTTAAGTGTTTTTCCTAGGTTCCTGCGCTTGGCATTGTTTCTTCCTGAGATCACCACACCCATCTCTCTTTTTTTAATTACCTTGCCACATCATTTTCTTTACCTATATGACAGCCTTAGCACCTGTATAAGATGAAGCATTGGAAGAAACCTTAATATTACAAGCTTACAGTGAAAAGCTGCTTTTATTTTGCAGGGATTTTTGCTTCGCCTTTCTTGATAGGAGCACGACGAGTGGCCGACTAGATTGTTCTTCTCACATCTGTCGCGCCACGTGGTGTGGCAGTCGGCCGGAGCAGTGGCACCACCTATTTTGACTTGGACGGTAGTACAGTGGTCCGTGCGACACATCACGCTAGAGTACATGTGATGAGCTTGGGAGGAGGCGAGCTCACGCTGAGATTCTGGGACATCAAGCACGGGCAGCGCACGTTGCGTTCGCAAATCAGCTTTCTTTTGTTATTTTGAGCAACAGACCCGCAGACTTTACAGAGTTTGGGCCGGCTTCTTGTTTTTCTTCTTCTATATAGTTTTTTGCGGGGTTTTCCTTCTTCTATATATGTTGGCATTTTAAAGCATCTACATCCGGACCAAAATATGCCCGCCCTAACGAGCTGCCCAGATGCAAAAACCGCACCCAACTGTGCCACGTAAATCCACCCCAAACGTCCCGACTGACCAACAGTCCTCATACCCGGCCCATATCCGGTGATGCCCGAACACGTCCGCCCTGTAAGACTGATCGCAAGGGCTCACGCGGTCACACACAGAGACCGTTGGTCCAACGGGCGCCTCCCCCGGTCCTCGATGCACATGCATTCATGGCGCCATGTGGCGTCGCTCCGGCGTGCCGCCCAAGGGAGCAGGTCCGACTATTTAAGCCAGACGACGGCAGCCCAACCCCAGGCTGCCCCCCTTCCTTACCTCTCCCTCCCGCCCGTGCAACCAGCTTCCATCTGTCGTTAGTCATGGTGTAGTGACCCGACCTCAGACGGTCAAGTCTTTGTGCTTAAGTGTCATCCCTGGATCGGTATTGCTGACACACACAGTACTCAAGGATTTATAACAGAGTTCAATCACACACATATTACATCGAATGTCTCAAAAGAGAACTTATTACAATAATATGGCTGAAGGACATCTAAATAAGATAACAGTGGAAGCTTCGATGGTAGAAGAGTCCATCCAACTCCATGGCAAAACTGAGTGCATGACAACAACCTAGCGCACCTTACTCTTCGTCTGAAAACTCTGCAACATAATACGTTGCAGCCTGTGTAGGTCAGCATATGGAATATGCTGGCAAGATAACACTATAGAACAATGAACAGATAACAGCTATCACTACATGCATATATGGCTGGTCGAGGCTCTACGGTTATCATTTGCATAAAGCTAATTTTTTTCCTACAACAAAGGATTATATTTTATTTAACTACAAGGTTTGTTGAAATTATTGAAAAGGTTCCTCCAACTCAAATGCCAAAATAATAATTATAACCCAACAAATTAATTAAGTAAAGTGATGAAATCAAATTAATAATTCAAGTACCAGATACTCAAGATGTCCATAACCGGGGACACGGCTAACCATGGTTAGTTTGTACACTCTGCAGAGGTTTGCGCAGTTTTCCCCACAAGACTCGATCTCCTCCTGTAACGCCCCAAGACCGGAGCTTCAGATGCCTTCTAGGGTTTCCGGGTTCCGTCGTGTGATTTGTTTGGTTCATTGCATTCATCATTGCATCGTGTGCATTGCATCATGTCATCATTGCATCATGTCATTTCTTTTTCTTAACTCAACTAAATAAATGGCATGGATCTTTGATCCATTTAAACCGAGGGAATTCACGTGGTGATTCTCTTTACAACATATATCCCAATATTAGGGAGCTATAATAAATATTCCTTTATTTTGGAATTACCTTTAACACACTTGCAAATAATCACATGCCTTTTTCCGCTTCAAGTTTGGTCCTCAAACTTTTCCTGTGAGTTCTTTCGTCACTTCCCCGAGCTCCACCTAAATTTTCAACATTATTGGTCACTTCAAAAACCAAGTCCTAGTTCAAACCCGTTGGAATTAAATTCAAATGAGTTTGAATTTTGCATCTTTCAATCTTCACCTTTTCTATTTTCTCGGAACAAGTATATTTTTGTGAGTTCGGGAAATTATCCCCGTGCCCAAATCCTGTCTCCACCCTTCTTTTCTTTTTCTTTTCTTTGTTTTTTTTCTTCTTTTCTGGGCAATAGAAGAGAGGTTACGAGTGAGTGAGCCCAATCCAGCAAGCCCTTTAGCCGGCGCCCTCCTCACTGGGCCGACCTGCTAGGCCCAGCTGCGCTCCAGCCGGCCCACTCCCTCCCGAACCCTAGGCCTCGATCCCATCTCCCTCGTCTCCCCTTGCGCCGCTAGGGTCCCGCTTCGCCCGATCCTCTCTCCCTCCTCTCGCTTTTCCTCACGCCCAAACCCCATGGCGTCGCCACCAACGCATCGCCAGAGAGAGGAAAGACCTCACATTGCTCCTCCCTCCTCTCGATCCCTCTCCTTCTCCCCGCGCCTCCTCCATCTGTAGAGCACCACAGCGCCGCCGCGGCCCTGCTGGCCCGGAGCGCCGCACCTCCGCCCCTGCCATGGACAGCCGCGCCTGTCTTCGTCGCCACCGGCAGGAGCAGGAGCCCCATGACCTTCGCCGTCATCCTGCCTACTCGGAGGACCTCCCGCGCCGCCTCTCCTCTGGTTTCTCCTCGTCGCCGTCTTCTGCACCCCGGCCCCCCTCGGCATCACTTCGCCCGTCACCGGCCACCGGTGCCCTCGCTGGAGCTTCTGTGAGCTACCCCGCGCCCCTGCCGAACCCTCCCGGTGACCTGCAAGCTCGCACCGCGTCGTCCTTTTCAGTCAAGTCCATCGCCGCCTTCTCGCCAGCCCTGCTCAAGCTCCGTCGCTGCTCACCCTTGGCACCATGGCCCCTGCCTCCTTTGGATGACCTCCTGCCGCCGTGCACATCTTCTCCCGTGCCCTGTTGTGCGCGATCTCCGCTGCCTGGCATTGTTGCCGTCAACCCATGGGTGAAAAATTCATCTTCTAGAGTCGTCAAAATGCACAGTACGACTACAGGATGACGCGCCAAGTTCCTCTCCGACCCGTGCACAGATACCACCAAGTACCCCTTCAGATCGCCAAGTTCATCTTCCGCCGTCTCCGAAATCGCCAAGTACCACGACGATACGAGAACAACTACCGTCGACGTGCATTTTGCCAAGTACCACTACCGTCGACCCTCGAAGACTCCGTGGACGTCAAGTTTCTCGCCGTGCCCCCGAACATCTACGGAAACTTGTGAGACTAAGAACGTGAAAGACTACCTTCGCCACAAGAACGACTACTTCCGACAACGAACCGTGAACATCTACTTCCTCTACATTGCACCGAACCCAAACCCTTCCGTTTGCATGCTTCGAAGGTATAACCGTCGAGGCGACCCTCCGTGGACCGAATGCATGTGTGTTGAATGAGATGAACCCCGCGTTTTGCACCGTGTCTGAAAATTGTCACTTGCATGTTCCTCCTCGTTGCCATGCCATCTACCCGTGGGAACCCGGCAACCGGGATCACCCCATCATCTTGCATGACACGCTCCCGTCACACTTCCTTTTGCACCGGTATCTCCACGAGCTTCCAAAACCGATATGTTGTGTGGCATCATTTTCAGATTCATTGTCGTGGCACCCCTTTCGTTTCCGCCACGATGACAAATGCCTCATATCTTATCATGTCAACGTTTTCATAAATATTGCATCAAACTTGCACATGTCATCCACATCATGATAACAACAATTAAAATGTTTAAAATTGTTGTTTGCTTTAAATTGCTAAATGCATATGGGGATTTACCGGAATTGTTGCTTGTTGTTTCCGGCCTCATTTA